GGTAAAGCCACCTCCTGCAACACCAGCTTCCCACATGGGTGCTGATTTGAGACCTGGCTGTTCCACTTCTGATCCAACTCCCTGTTAATGAGCCTGGGAAAGCAGCAGAAGATGGCCCAAGTGCTTGGGCCCCTGAACCCACGTAGGGGACCTGGAATAAGCTCCTGGCTCCTGGGTTCAGCCTGCTACAGCCCCAGTTGTTGCAGCCATTTAGGGATTAAACGGATGGAAGATTAGCTCCTTCACTATCCCTATCTCTCTGTAACTCTGCTTTTCAAAAAAAAAAAAAGGGGGGGGGCGGTTAAAAGGTTTTGTATCTGTGCCTGACATACAGTAAGCACTATTTAGGTCTTAGGTTTAAAGCAAAATATAAATATAAAATTTGGGGCAGGCATTTAGTACAGTGATTAAGAGACCACTTGGGATGCCTGCATCCCATTTTGGAGTGCCCAGGCTTAAGTCTGGCTCCACTTCTGATTCCACATTCCTGCTAATGCACACCCTGGGAGGCAGCAGATGATGGCCCAAGTAGCTGAGTCCCTGCCACCCACATGGGAAACCTGGGTTGAGCTCACAGTTCCTGGCTTCAGCCTAGCACAGCCCTGGCTGTTGTGGGCATGTGACTTTATCTCTCTCTGCCTTCAAATAAATAAAATCAACAGGCTGGTGCCACGGCTCATTTGGCTAATCCTCCGCCTGTGGCGCCAGCACCCTGGGTTCTAGTCCTGGTTGGGGCACCAGATTCTGTCCCAGTTGTTCCTCTTCCAGTCCAGCTCTCTGCTGTGGCCTGGGAAGGCAGTGCAGGATGGCCCAAGTGCTTGGGCCCTGCACCGGCATGGGAGACCAGGAGGAAGCCCCTGGCTCCTGGCTTTGGATCGGTGCAGCAGGCCTGCCGCAGCGCACCAGCCATGGTGGCCATTTGGGGGGTGAACCAACGGAAGGATGACCTTTCTCTCTGTCTCTCTCTCTCACTGTCTAACTCTGTCAAAAAATAAATAAATAAAATTAATTAAATAAATAAATAAAATTAACTCTGCCTGTCAAAAATAAATATAATTAATTAATTAAATCAATAAATAAAGGCAAAAAATTAAAATTTAAAATCTAAGAAGGGTTATATGATAAATTTATTTATCAGAACAGCTAATCGGAAGTTACCTTTAGGACTAAGATTATTTTCCTTTTTTTAAAGATTTATTTATTTATTTATTTGAAAGGCAGAGTTGCAGAGAGGAGAGAGACAGAGAGAGAGAGAGAGATCTTCCATCTGCTGGTTCACTCTCCAAATGGCCACAACAGCCAGGACTGGGCCAGGCTGAAGCCAGGAGCCAGGAGCTTCTTCCGGGATACCCACATGGGTGCAGGGACTCAAGCACTTGTGCCATCTGCTGCTCTTACAGGTACATTAGCGGGGAGCTGGACTGGAAGTGGAGTAGCTGGGACCCGAATGGGTGCCCATATGTGATGCCAGCGCCACAGGGCACAGCTTTAGCCCACTGAGCCACAGTGCCAGCCCATAAGATTATTTTCATTCTGGGAATCAGTTATGCAAAAATCCAGGGCAAGTGATGCAGATGCATAGAGAACCACTAGTTCTCACTGACGTTGCTAAAACAGAAATTTGGAGTGTGTCACAACATCACACTGTTTACAGAATTACTGCTTTTATATATGATCTAACATGTCCAGCATGTTAAACAAATCCAGGTGTGGCTTTCAAGGGACACATGCCTTGCTATGACCTAAAGAATTCACAGCAGAATATTCCTGGAGGACATTTAAGCAAAAAAAAAAAAAAAAATCCACACACATATATATGATAATTGCATTGATAGATGCATAGAAATGTGTCTGGAAGTATACAAATACAAGTGTTAATAGTGGATAGCTCTGGATATTGGGAATGGAGAAAACATTTTTAACTTCATGTAATTTTCAAGTTATTTGAATTTTCAATATTTATCAAACTTTTTTTACTTTGTGATACAAATAAGCTTCTTACTATTACAAAATGTTTAGTCTTTTTCTCCTCTAAGTCAAATAAGATTAAAATAACTTTTCTTTTGTATTCTTAAAACAGAGGTAATTTATTTTAGACATCAAAACCATACTCCAGAGGCAGACGTTTGGCACATGATTAAAACAGTACTTGGGATGTCTGCATCCAATTTAGGAGTGCCGGGGTTCAAGTCCCAGCTCTGCTTCCAATTCAAGCTTCCTGCTAATGCACACCCTGGGAGGCAGCAGGCACGGCTCAAGAAGTTGACATCCACATGGGAGAGCCAGACTGAATTTACATTCCTGGTTTTAGCCTGGCCCAACCCTGGCTGTTGGGGTCATTTGAGGAGTGAAGTGGTAGATGGGACATATCTCTCTCTCCTGCTCATTCTCTCTCCCTTTTAAACAAATAAATAATTTTTAGAAAGCAATTTTTCCAAATGCCTTTATTTTCTAAGATTCTGATCCCCCTCCCCCTGTGCCCCTGGAGGGGAAATGAGAAGAAGAAAACAAGGCCAGGTCAAGTAAGAGACTCAGTCTCTCTCTAGTCATGCAGGTTCATCAGCACCCAGGACTCTGGGGAGGCAGAGGACTTGACTCTCCCATGAGCCCCTCTGCTTGGTTGTAAACCAGGCCTGCTCACTGCGCTGTGACTCCAGGAACTGGCCACTCCAGTTCCCAACTCTGGATGCCTGGAGACCAGCAGGGAGGAACACGGATCCAGCAAAGTTTAGTGGGAATGACCTTAGACAATCTCTCATGCATCCACAGAGAACCACCTCCCTGGGATCAACCTGAGCTCCATAGAAGCTCCGCTCCGGGCCCAAGGTTGCAGAGTTACCAAGCCATCAAGGCAGTTCTGAGCCTCAGAATGGTGTCTTTCCATGATGGCTGAGAAGAGACCACGAGGGCAGGTCATTTTCATGCTGACCCAAGGACCATACTTCCTTGCAGAGAGCGCGTACGCCGGGAGGCAGGCTTTGCAAGACATTGAAGGGAGCAATCTCCCTGCCTTTATCACAGACCCCAAATTGTACTGTGAACATCAAATGCTGACTCTTTTACTTTAATTACCAGTGTTCCCTAAGAGACGTACCCCTTTCTCCACCAATAATCCTTTATTATAAAAGAGAGAACGCTCCCTTTTTGAGATGTGCTTTCTGGCTACATCAGTCAGAGATGCTTTTAGTATACAACGAAGACTAATGAAGGGCTCTTATTAGAATGCTTTCCACATGCTGGTACAGGCAGTAGGAACTCTGGAGATATTTAGACTAATGCAATGTGGTCTATTATGTTCTATCATATTGCTTTTTATAGTGGGAACTATGAATCAGTTTCTAAAATTTAGAGGGCAAATCAATGATTAGGCTTTGGAATTCCTTGATATCAATAAATCAGAGGCCGACTCAATGAAGTTGTTCTGCAAACTCGATCAGAACCAATAAGAAATCGCTCATTCCCCTCTGCTTAAAATAAAAACACTCCAAAGAACAGTCAAAAAATCATCCCCAAACCTACACATCAAACCTAAAATAACTGATATGCACATACACAAAATAAGAAAGTATTCTTACCTGTTTATCCATGTAAATTCTCTAAACCCCCCCCTGTTGGATGGTTATTTATAACACTGATTAGTGGTTATAATAACTCACAATAATCAACTTGTCACCTTTAGAATTTTTGCTAATTCAGACGAGCCTTCCAACTGATTACTTAACATGTTGGAAATATGATTCCATTGCATATATCTGCAAGTTTGCAGGAAGCAGGTTCTCAGGAAGCTATGTGTGGGTTAAGGAAAGGCATCCTTGCATTCATAATATGAAGCTAAAAGAGGGTGCAAGGGGGACAGGCCCTGGCTGGATTTAGTGCTGCTCACACTCCTTGTATTGCTGTCCCCCTCTGGAGACACTGCACTGCAAAAGAATTGCCAAGTCTGAAGCTTTTTAAAAACTTTGATCTTTTCGGAAAACTCAGAAGGATGCTAGAAATCCTCCAGCTGAACAAACAGACTTGGGCGGGAAAGACCACCCCTTTAGCATTTGCCCGACTCCACCCCGGTGCTTCATTAAAGTGGTCTCCTTCAAAACATGCAAATGACACAGCCCTACTCGGAACAAACAAGTGAATTAGGTGAGCCTCTATAGGCAATTCACTCAAGGTAATTAAGAATGCTAAATCAAACAAATTATCATTTTAAATGGCAAGTAAGTTTTAATTAAACTTGACTTCTACACTGAAAATGAAACTACTACCTCCACGGAAGGGATCTAGTATGAATGGAAAGGCAAAGCATCAAAAAGGGAGAAATAAGTGTAAACCTTCACTTTTGATTCACAAGATTAGGACAAGGTATGACTGGATTTTCACGGGATACTGGCTCAAAAGATAAGTACATGATGCATGAATTCAGAACTGATTGAATAATGCTTTTGGGGTACTTTAAGTATGAATAAATTTTACAAGCAAAGATGCTAATCAACAATAGGATCAACCCAAATCCAAGGTCATTTCTTTCCAACTAGCATGTCAATCTTTGTTCACCATAAAGAAAGGGAACTCAGCAGGTGACATCCCACCCCAGGGATTAAGAGACCTTCTGTAGGGGTGGGGGGACAGAGAGATCCACAGCAGAACCTTCACCATAGTGTGATGGCCCCTATCCTGAAATAAACATACATGGTGGACCACACCACCGGGCCCCCATCAATAATCCCAGAAATACACATGCCCATGGAGAGAAAAATGTCCAGAGTTGTCCCCAAACAGACAAGGCGAAAACATGATCCTACTATATCAATCACACATATTTAATCCTACAGAATAACATAATCTTAAACATAGTTACAGTCTATTTTAAAAGTTTCACATAATCTCAGAGACCAGACACACCCATGTCCCTTCCCTTTTAACATTTTCCTTCCCGTAATTTATTGGGAGTCTGATTAGACCCCAGCCATCAGTACAGGCAACCGATAAAGCCCTCGAAGAACTACCTGCTTCCTTCTCCACATGAAGCACTTCACCTGGTGTAGCCTCCCGGATCCTCCTGTTGCCACCTTCAGCCCAGCATCCCACAGGAGCGCGCACACACGAGGCATTCTGTCCCCTCCACTCCTGGCTTTCTGGTCCGGCAAGCTGGGCTAGGGCAGGAGTCAAGGAGGAGCTAAGGGCATGGGGCAGGGTTGAAGGCTGAACAGGGAGGTGCCTGCAGCCCAGGCTGGGGAAGCCACACTGTCACCACCTCTGGCATTCAGGCCTGGTCACCCTGCCTCCCAAGGCCATTTTCATACTGTTTCCCTAAATAGTCTGTCCTCAGAGTGACCCTAGGAACATGATTGTGAGACTAATGACAGTGCTAAGAAGTCTGTGGCAAGCTTATGTTCCAAGAAGCAGAAAGAACTGCTGCGGCATGTTCTCTTCTGTACTGGTGGCTTGAATCTGCTAACCTTGTCACTAGAGAGGAAGAAATTCCAAGAGAGCAGTGTCATGTCCCCCAGGTCTATCACAGAGCCTGGTGTGTCCTGAGGACTCAACGAGTATCTGTGGAATCCATGAATGATCTAAAAATTCAGATCTGTTCCCGAGGCATATTTGGAAGTTGGGAATGAGAGAGAGGAAGATCTTAAAGGTCATGTGACTATTCAACCCTCTAGAACTTACAGATGTTTGCAGATGAATGGGCAGATAAAATGTGGTTTATCTAGTCAATGGGATCCTATTCAGCCATTGCAACAATGTTGCTGACACAGGCTACATAATGCATAAATCTCAAAACTATGAAGCTCCGTGAAAGGAGCCAGATGCCGAGATGACCACTGATGTGAAATGTCTAGAAAGACAGATCTACAGAGGCAGAAAACAGAGCAGTGGTTGGCCGGGGGTGGGATGGAATTACCTATAAATGGGCATGAGGGATCCTATTTGGGAGAATGAAATTATTCTCAAACAGGATTATGGGGACGCCTGCACCATTCAGAAGATACTAAAACTCATTGACATACGCTTGAAATTGGTGAGTTTTATGATTATATTAAATGCACACCCATAAAGTTGTTTTTAAAGGGTTCGCCCCTCATGCCTCTATGGGCATGAGGCTGCTATGTTGTTCAAAACAACAAGACAGGAACCCAGAATTGCAAGTACTCCCCCCCAGTCCTAATTCCCAATCCCAGTATCTTTGAACACCCTTCTCCTGCCCCAGGCTACTGTGCCATCCTCAACAGACTACTTGTAATCAGAAAGCAGATGAGAGGCTGCCAGGGAGAGGGGAGATGGGGAGTGGCCACTTTCCTTACTGGCTAATGAAAAGTTCTGGACCTAGATGATGGTGGTATAACATTGTGACCGTTCTTAATGCCACTAAACACACACTGTGAAACGGTGAAGATGGCAAATCTCATGTTAAGTGTATCATTCCACAATTGTGTTGTTGTTGTTAAAAGTCTACTTGTAAACAGGCCATGTGTCAGGGACATTTTCCCATTTCCTTTCTGTCTGCCAAATCTATTCCCTGGCACCACAGTGGGGCCAGCTGCTTTTCCTGCCATATCATGTCAGGATGTCTTAGCCCAAGCGACAGCACAGCTCTCAGCAATTTGTTTGCTGCACTCTGTCACCTTCCCCATGGTTGGCAAACACCAGACACTAATTAAATTAAAATCTGGGCTTGGTTTGCATTTTAATCCTGCCCACTTGAAACTGGCTGGCATCATGCAAAACAACACACACAGGGACGTTCCCTGAGCTGACAGGCCATCTCATTAGATGCTGCTACCATGGCTTCCTGGCTCCTGGAAAGCGTAAGAGGCAATGAGATCTGTAGTGGATTCGTCCACGGCTCACGGGACGCTTGCTGCTCAGTCAAAATTCTATTGGTCCACAAAGCCCAAGATTTCTCTCCTCCTACATAACCCAAAGCAGCAAGCTTGGACTCACGCCCATGTGATCTCTACTGCAAATGTCCTAGGTCGCTATTATCAGTGATGATTCTGGAGGACTACTGTTTACCAATATCATCTGTGTTCCTACTCCTATCAGGTAGTCTGTGAGGTCGGTTGCAATTTCCTTCTCTCCATCAGGAAGACCTATTGCAGAAGCAGTGAGTTGCTCAAGGATGCCAACTAACTTAAGGTTCAAACCAGAGTCTGAACTCACCTAGCATTCAAATATTCACTTGATGTTGTACATAAAAAGCAAGAATTATCTGCTATAAAATATTTCCTACTTCAAGGATGACATTAAATGGGTATTTTTATTTTGGGGTGATTTAAAATATGCTTGAAATTGAATGGACTTAAAAAAAAATCCAAGCCCTTAGCATTCCATTTATGAAATAAAATTTGGAGAGTAAGTTCTAAATGCCAAACATCTGAAAGAACTCCTCCGAGGAAGCACTTTACTGCCAGCCAAAAATCACAGGGCCACACTGTGGCTGAAGTTTTTAATTGTGTTTTTTTAGATGCGGGATAATTTTCTGACCATTAAAGACAATCATAGCCAAAGCTGACAATGAAAGTAATTGAATCTGATGTTTGACGGCATTCAGCTGATTCACCGTGGGGTGTAGGAGAGGAAGAAGGAGGCAAAGAAAGGAGGTGTGAGGTCCAGAAGTAATTTTCTCTCTATGAAAAGCAGAGCTTGCCTTCAGAGGAGAAAACCTGGAAGTGAAAAATGTGATTCTATTTCCTCCTTCACATTCCAGAGGGCATACCCCCATGTGGCATCTGAAAACCATCAGGACAGACAAGACTGAACCCCGGCCTCTGCCCAGGTCACACAGTCTCAGTTCAGGACACAGAGATGAGGTTTCCAGGAGAGGACGGGGTCCGAGCATCCGCCCTTGGGAGATTGTGTCTGCCTCCAAGTCCAGGCACTGTCACCGCGCACAGACTTACTGGCAGTGTATACTGATGAACCCCTCAAATGCAGGCTCACCTAGAGTTTTTATACATGAACTGCAGGGAGCCTCAAAGAGTAAGTTTCTATATGTAATGCAAATAACGCAAATATATGTTGTTCCGCCTTCAAAGGGTTTGCGATTTAATGGAAAAATATCAGCACCTGTCAGAGACGAGACAACAAGCCACCTAGGATCAAAGGAAGATCTACATTTGCATACCTTGCATGGCTACAGCATTTTTTTAAAATGTATTTATTTATTGGAGAGACAGACAGACCTCTCATCTGCCGATTCTATCCCCGAACGCTCACAATGTCTAGGGCTGGACTGAGACAATCGGGAGCCAGGAATGCAATCCCCGTGGATGGCAGGTGCCCACTACCTCTCCTTCACTTGTTGCCTCCCAGAGTCTGCATTAGCAGGAAGCTGGGGTCAAGAACAGAGTTGGGTATTGGGCCCAGGCACCCTGTTGTGGGATGTGGGTGTCTTAACTGCTGGGCCAACCAAACGTCCACCCCCATGTGCACAGCTTTTGAGATGGACTTGGTGTTCAGAGTAGGCCTTTACAGGTAAAAGATCCTACTGTAGGTGCCTTCGATAAATTACTTAATTTTCTGTGCATGATACAATGGGATTCCAACTAGATTCTCACAAACTCATAAAACATCTGTAATGAATGTATGGATAGCCACACTACATGGGATAAAGAGAGATCTATAAATAGCCATAAATCCATCCAATACTAAAGAGCTGACAAAAACATCTTGTTTTCAAAGCTGTTTGGGTCTCAGAATTGTGGATAAATGATTGTTGGACCTGTAGTAATACACAGAAGGGATACTCTGAAAATAAAATGAGACAACGGTATAATCACATTTTGGAAAAAAAATCTTAATTCTATAAATGCACTTAAATCAATTATATCCTTTACCTGTACAAATCTCGCTGCGGGAGCTCTGGAAACACTGATTATTCAAGGGTGGCTCGCCCCTGGCAGATTGTTAGAAAACTTCTAACCACCACAGAACAGTGACACTGTGGCTATCTGTTTCCTCCCTCATTCCCTTTATCCAGTTGTGTTCAACATCATATGTTCCCTGGCTGCATCTTTCATTCCTGTTCCTGTCTTCGGGGTGATTTTCCCTCAGCGAGACCTTATCATGGCACATCTAGCCTTACCGTCATAAATCCCAGTTAATGGTACCACTTCCAACTTCCCCCGCAAACTATCCTGCACTCCACAGCCACCTCCTCTTAGTTAATGATCCCTGTGATGACGTCAACAAGCCTAAGACTTGCCAGTGTCAGCAGGACCAAGTCCAGATCCCTCAGCAGAGGCTCCCACCCACTTTCCCAGGCTCCTATGTATGAACTCCCTGCTCTACTCAAACTGATTCCCTTAAACTTTGAACTTTCCCATTTCTGCAGCCTCACTCCTGTCATTCTGTGAGCTGTGCTGCAGACTGGTTTTCCAAACTGATCACAACAATACCATCCATCCCATATACTCTCCCTACCATGTAGCTTCAATACGTTAACAGGGGAGCCTATGCTTCCTCCCTCTTGGAGCTGGGTGCTCTTGGGACTACGATGCAGATGGCAATGACTTCCATGGCAGGCCATAAAACAGAAGGAGTTTTTGGGGGCTGACGTTGTGGCGTAACAGGTTAAGCTGACACCTGTGACCCAGCATCCCATACGAGTGCTGGTTTAAGTCCTGGATCCAGCTCCCTGCTGAAGCCCCCCTAGGAAATCAGGGGAAGATGGCCCAAGTGCCTGGGCCCCTGCCACCAACATGGGAGACCCAGATAGAATTCTTGGCTCCTGGCTTCAGTCTGGCACATCCCCATGCACTGGGGTCACTTGGGGAGTGAACCCGTGGGTAGAAGATTGGTCTCTCTGTAAACCTGCCTTTAAAATAATTAGAATAAATCTTATAAAAAAAAAGAAAGAAAAAGCAGATTCTATCCAGTTCTCTTAGGACACTAGTTCTTGTTACTCAACTCCATGTGGGAAGAAACCAAGCAACTACATGAAAAAAAACATACGTAAGTGTTCTGCTCAACAGCCCTCATCATTCCAGCATCAACCAACAGACGTGCTAGTATTGAGCCTTCAGCTGATTCTAGCATCCTCTGAGTTGCCCCAGATGATTCCAGGTGGAACAATGACAAGCTCTTCTCAAAGTCCAGGTTCATGAGCAAAATAAAGGAATGTTGTTTTGAGTATATTTGGGATAGCTTGTTATGTAGCAATAAACAACTAGAATACACCAAAATACCCTCCTTCTTTTTGGCCTTCTCAAATCCAACCAACTTTATCATTTTAAGATTTATTTATTTATTTATTTGAAAGGCAAGTTACAGAGAGGCAGAGAGAGAGAGAGAGAGAGAGAGATCTTCCATCCACTTGTTCACTCCCCAGATGGCTTCTGGAGCTGCGCTGATCTGAAGCCAGGAGCTGCTTCCGGGTCTCCCACGTAGGTGCAGGGACCCAAGGACTTGGGCCATCTTCTACTGCTTTCCCAGCCCATAGCAGAGAGCTGGATTGGAAGTGGAGCAGCCGGGACTTGAATTGGTGCCATACAGGATGCTGGCACTTCAGGCACCGGCCCTAATCCTACCTACTTTTCAAGCCCAGTATAGACTTCACCTCCTTCATGAAGTTAAGCTCACCTAAAAGTGATTTCTATCTCTCTTTCTCGAAGCCTGAATAGCACTCAATAAAGTCCAACCATTCAGTACATTTAAACACCACTGTTTCCTCAAAACTGGACCCTAATCTCCTTGAGAGAAAAGACTATGCCTGTGTCTTCTTGTTCCTTTCCATCATCTCTCAGAATATTTTACACATAACATATAGTCTACATATCCTTGCTGTATAATATTCTAGCTTCCAGAAAAAGTGCTTATGATAGGTATTTAATAAACAATACACACCAAAAATGCATATTTAATGCAAAAGAAAATGAGAATGAGGGACAGTAAAACAAATTTTCAATGAAGAATCAGGTAGTTTTGGGAAATTCAAACTTTCAAGTCTTTGAACTGCATTCATACTGAGCCAAGTCGATGCTTTTTAAACGAATGGTTTATGTTCAAGAGAGTGTGTGTTCAGCCAACATGTAGATTTGGATGTGTGCTTTGGGAATTGTTCCCTCATTAATCATTAAATTCTAAATGGGCATTTTGAGAAGTGGCAGTAATGACCCACATTCTACAATCTTGTAATTACTCAAGTGTAATTAGAATATGGGAGGGTTTAGAAATAGAGTGTTTCTTGTCAAATACCATCTGTATTAAGACTTCTTAAAATGAGGATCATGAACTCCAGAGAGCTGTGATTGGGTGAGCTTCACACAGTTCCTGCCTGCAATCTCATCCAAAGTTGAGTGGATGTGCATTTTTCTTTTTTCTTTTTTTTAAACAAATCAAACTCAGCACATCTTTAATAACTCAATTGAAAGTTAGTCTCTTAATAAAATCAAATTATTTCTCCTCCAGGCAACTGTTAGCAACAAAGGAAAAATTATTTCATACCATTGGTCCATGAAGAAAATACATTTATTTACATTCTCAGTGGACTAACAATTAAAATTGTTTGTTTCCTTGGAGGCCAGTGCTGTGGCATAGTGGGTAAAGCCGCTGCCTGCAATGCTGGCATCACATATGGGTGCCAGTTCTAGACTTGGCTGCTCCACTGCTGATCAAGCTCTCTGCTATGGACTGGGAAAGCAGTAGAAGATGGCCCAAGTCTTTGGGCCCGTGCACCCACATGGGAGACCTAGAAGAAACTCCTGGCTCCTGGCTTTGGATCAGCGCAGCTCCAGCCATTGCGGTCATCTGGGGAGTGAACCAGCAGATGGAAGACCTCACTCTCTCTCTTTCTCTCTCTGCCTCTCCTTGTCTCTATGTGTAACTCTGACTTTCAAATAAATCAATAAATCTTTAAAAAAATGTGTATGCTTCCAAAAATATCATATGATCAATGCACTTAACTTAAGCTTCAGGTATTCATAACTTCATTTAGACTTCTTAAAAAAACAACACAAACATACTTCTAGAGTGCTTCAGTAACACAAAAATGATGTGTTTTAGAATGCAGGAATCCCGTTCAGAGGGGTCACCACCAAGAAGACATCCATTGCCAGCAATGACGCTCAGCACAATGGCCAGCTCTGGGATGATGTGATGTGCAACGTGCGCTCAGGGTCTTCCCCGGGCGGTTCTTTGTACAGGCTCCTGGCGGGACTCCGGTACAATGCATTTTTCTGAGAAGGTTTGTAACATCCATCAGAAGCTTAAAGTAGTTTTACAAACACTTAATTCAAGGCTTTACCTTATGTCATGTTTTTTATCCCCATTCAGAGATTGTGCTATAGAAAAAGCCATGGGTCATGGGGAAACCAAAGTTGGTCCTGGCTCTACCAATGCTTCGCATAGTGGCTTTGGGGAAGTCCTTATGATCTCTCTGGACCTCCTACTGGATACTCAAATCATGAAAGAAGGATGGAATGAATGACCCTAAAACTCCTACACCTACTACAGTATCTGAAGATGGCTTTCCTGAGGAAGGATTTGAAGGGGAAGAAGACAGAAATCTTATTTGGTGCTTTCCCATTGGATTTTCTTTCCTACAAAAGAACTCTAGTATTGATCTAGGTAAAAATCTGCATTGCAGTATTAACAACTACTTACTTGATAAACATTAAATGGGTGCTTACAGGGTGACAGTCACCAGTTAGGGACATTAAAGTCAGTCCTCTAAGATTTGACCTTTGGGGCCGGTGCTGTGGCACAGTGGGTTAACACCCTGCCTGAAGCGCCGGCATCCCATATGAAGCGCCAGTTCGAATCCTGGCTGCTTCTCTTCTGACCCAGCTCTCTGCTATGGCCTGGGAAAGCAGTAAAAGATGACCCAACTCCTTGGGCCCCTGCACCCACGTGGGAGACCCAGAAGAAGCTCCTGGCTCCTGGCTTCGGATCTGGCCATTGTGGCCATCTGGGTAGTGAACCATCAGATGGAAGACGTCTCTCTCTCTCTCTGCCTCTCCTCTCTCTGTGTAATTCTGACTTTCAAATAAATAAGTAAATCTTAAAAAAAAAAAAAAAAAAAAAAAGATCTGACCTTTAATGAGAAGTTTACTCCAATGCTGCACATGATTCTGGGACGTAAAATAGGCAGTATAGCATCAGAAATGAAGAGACAAGCATGGAAGGACAAGTAACAAGTGAATAGAACAGGCAGTGCGTAGGT